CAGCACTCAGCTCGGCTTGCTGGCACCAGTACCAGGTGGCGCTGCAGCACTTGGCCTGGCTCACTGGCACCGGTACCGGGTGGTGCTGCAGCACTCAGCTCGGCTTGCTGGCACCAGTACCGGGTGGTGCTGCTGGCTAACTGCCCACTGAAACCTCTCCGTTGACCCTTCCCCCTTGCAGACGGGCTACATGTTTGGCAAAGGGATCTACTTCGCCGACATGGTCTCCAAGAGCGCCAACTACTGCCACACGTCCCAGGGAGACCCGGTGGGCTTGGTCCTCTTGGGAGAGGTTGCCCTGGGGAACATGTGAGTTGCCTGGCGTGGGGGCTGGGGGCCTTGGAGGGGAGGGAGGGTGAGCTCCAGGAAGCAGGGTGCCCTGGTGGGGAGGTGACCCTGGACATTCCCCTCCACAATTACAGGACCCATGGATGGGAGGGCAGGGGGGTAGCAGAAACATATGAAGCAGCGGTTCTCAACCTGTGGGTCGCGACCCCTTTGGGGGTCGAACGACCCTTTCACAGGGGTCGCCTAAGACCATTGGAAAACACATCTATAATTACATATTGTTTTTGTGATTAAGCACTATGCTTTAATTATGTTCAATTTGTAACAATGAAATTGGGGGTCACCACAACATGGGGAACTGTATTAAAGGGTCGCGGCATCAGGAAGGTTGAGAACCACTGCTATGAAGGGAAGTGAACGGGGGAGAGGGAGGAAGGCCTCCAAGCCCGAGGCGGGAGCTGGGAAGCAGAGAGGTTGCCACACAAAGGGTCGCCCGTGCCCCTCCCACTGCTGTTTAGAGACCAGCTCCGACTAAAGTGCGTCGGTCCAGCTTCTAAGACCCGCAGAGAACACCTGGGCCCAGGGGTGGGGAACAGAACAACCCCCCACGTGGCAGCCACGGTTCTGTGCAGGACCGTCCTGTGCACGTGGCCGCAGAGCAGATCGCTGGCACGAGCCGTGCAGAAGAGCCTTCGTGTCTGCAGCGGCGTGGACCCACAGGAGGGAGTGCCCGGCCATGCATGGGCTCGGTTCTCGGGGCTCATCTCCCTTCCTCCCTCGACCTCGTCTGCAAGTCAGAGCTGGCCCCGGAGGCCCTCTGAGACGGTTCTCTCTCTCTCTCAGGTATGAGCTGAAGCACGCTTTGCACGTCAGCAAGCTGCCCAAGGGCAAGCACAGTGTCAAAGGTAAGTGTTGCCAAAGCGGTGGCTCTAGCCCCACCCCGTGAATGTACAGGCGGGAGCTTTCTCCCCGGAAGCCGGAGTTCCTGGCTCGGCTGTGACAGCTGGAGGCCCATTTCAGAAGCTTCCCTTACTGTGGCTTCCCTTGCCTCGGCACCGGCAGCGAGGTGCGTTGGCGCTGCGATTTAGCCCAACTCCTCCTCGCTCCAGCGCTGAGGGCCCCTCGGGGCCTGTGGTCCCTGCGCATCGTGGATGGAGGACCTGGTGGCACCTGAGGAGTCGGGAGCCCCGACCCCCAGTTGGAGGGAGTGCTTTGGAATTCTGCTCACAATACTAGTGTAATTGGGGGCAGGTGCAGCATGCGCTCTTCTCCTCAGAATCATCCCCGGCTAGTGCCCTGGGAACGTGATGATCGCCAGCTGTTTCCTGTCTGTAGGAAGATCGAGCATGAAATGTGTGTGTCTTTAAAGTGAACACAGAGCGAACATAAGCGGAACTCGGCGCCCTGGGGCATTCTCAGCATCTGCTCACAGTTCACCTCACTCATGCCTTCTGTTTCGCAGGTTTGGGCAAGACGACCCCTGACCCTTCTGCTAGTATCACCCTGGATGGGGTGGAGGTTCCTCTCGGGACTGGGGTCTCGTCTGGCGTGGATGACACGTCCCTGCTGTACAACGAGTATCCTTTACGTGCAGCCGGTTGGCTGCTGAGACTGCCCTCGGCTGGCCGCCTGGCGATGGTCCCCTCGCTGGTCTCCCGACACCGAGTGAGGCCTGCCGCCGCCTGAGCTGCCCGATTGGGGCGCGCACTGTCCACTCGGAACCATTGCCTCCTTGACACACTTCCCTCAGGTACATTGTCTACGACACGGCTCAGGTGAACCTGAAGTACCTGCTGAAGCTGAA